CCCTCGAAGGACTATTCTGTTTATGAAAGATTTATACACGAGAGACCACAGGGCTTTAGGTGGAAGAAAAAAAAGAAAAGCTGAGAATGCTAAACCACAGGACCACACTTCACATTGCTTTTACTTTATGCACATCTCAGAAACTCCACACTAAAAAATAATGAGAGACTTATTCCTCAGGCAGAGACCCTCCTGAGGCACAAGGCAGAAGCATACAAAGACCTCTCTGAAGAGATGCTCCTACATCCCAAACATCATGGGGTTTTCATACACACACACACACACACACACACACACACACACACACACACACAAAACAACAACAAGCCCTGTTAATGATTAATTCACAAAAAAAAAACAAGGTCTGAGAATGAACAATCCAACCTGATCAAGAGTTTGTACACAAGACAAACATACAATTACACTCAAACAAACTCCAAATACACAGAGCTAACAAGAATAAGATTATAGCCGAAACCGGTTTGGCTCAATGGATAGAGCGTCGGCTTGGGGACTGAAAGGTCCCGGGTTCGATTCCAGTCAAGGGCATGTACCTTGGTTGCGGGCATATCCCCAGTAGGGTGTGTGCAAGAGGCAGCTGGTCGATGTTTCTCTCTCATCGACGTTTCTAGCTCTCTGACTCTCTCTCGTCGATGTTTCTAACTCTCTCTCTCCCTTCCTCTCTGTACAAAATCAATAAAATATATTTTTTTAAAAAGAAAGAATGAGATTATAAATGAAATATGTATAAAATGCCTGAAGACTAGAAGGGAAACAATAAAATCATTAGAATTAAACCCTATGAGAAAAAAAAGCATGCAGAATTAAAAGAGAACAAAACAAAAAAGCCACCATAATATATGTTGGAATGAATCTTTAAAAAAAAAAAGATTACAATAATGAGAAATTCTTTATTAAAAGACATGAGCAAAGACTAAAATAATTGGGGGGAAATACACCATGTTCATGCATAGGAAAACTCAATACAGTAATGATGGCAATTCTGTCCAGATTAATCTATAAATGTAATACAGTTTCCATAAAAATCCAACAGGGGATTTCCCAGCATTAACAAGCTTATCCTAAAATATGTACAGAGGACTAAAGGATCAAAGAAATGTTGAAGGAGAATAAAGGTGGAGGAAGAGAATTCATAATAGCAAATATCAAGACTATTATAAGCTATAGTATTTAATACATGAGGTATTCGTCAGATGATAGACCAGAGAGACCATTGGATCCTAACAGAAAGCCTAGAATTAGAGCTTAATGTGGCAGAGCTTAATATGACAGAGGTGGCATTTCAAAGTAGCAGCAACGAATGAACAATTCAGTAAATGGTGCTTCTGCATCATCCCAAAATTTCCAGTGGGTGGAAGAGATAAATGCTTTTGAAAAGTAAAATGTTTAAAACTTTTTGAAGAATACTATTATAGTAGATTCTCGTTATTTGCAATCGTTATGTTCTCTGTAATCTCTGTGACCACCGAATTTGCAAATTGTTCCTAGGAAAACAATTGTTCCTTTGGTCACTGTGAGCTTCTGATAACATCTCTGTCAGTCAACAACATAACTTTGTTTAATGTGTGTTTCTGTTTAAAAACACCTCGTTTAATATATATTGTTGGTTTACACTGAACTCACCTAGCAACACTATAACTCATGTGTGAATAAAGTAATTTTCTCCATAAGGCACCTCACCACTTTCTCGCACTTAGGAACTCTAGACAGCACTTCAATACTGCATTTGGGGGGTATTATAAACAGCAAGATCGTCCAAAAAAAATAAAAATGAAAACAAAACACTAAAAAATAAAAATCCCATGTGACACTAAATAGACTGTCAGGACACTTGTTTACAGCAAGAGAGCTGGAAGAAGGCAGGCCATCACTCTGTTCGACCTCAGCTGGGAACATAATGTGACTCAAAATGTCCTCTACTTTGCACACAGTCACCATAAATATTGACTTTCATTTATAAATAAATGTTAGTGAGTATGTGAAGTTGCAACTATAAAACCTGTGAATAATAAGGATCAACTGTACCTTTATGATATTTCCATGGTTGGAAAGGATATTTTGGGGTTTTGGTAAGATTCAAAATTACAAATTATAAACAAAAATTCAGGACTTGACTTGAAAATATATGTCAGAAAGAAAGTGAAAAATCAAGTCACACACTGGGAGAAGATATCTGCTTCCCAAATAAAGAACAGTGGGTCAGCATCAAGAACTTTAAAGTTCCTAAAAATTAGTAAGAAAAAGGCAAACAGGTGTAGTATTATAATAAGCAAAGGATAAGAACAAGACTTTCTTAAAAAATAGACTGACCAACAAATAAGATGCTCAATATCACTTGTAATAAAGAAATAGAAATTAAAAGATATTTCACATCTCTCTATAAACACATACACACAGAGGGTTGGGCAAAAGTAGGTTTACAGTTATTCGTATGGAAAATACAATAATAAATGATAACACAAGAATAAACTGTGTTTTTCATGTACTCACAACTGTAAATTCACCTTTGCCCATATCTGTGTGTGTATGTGTGTATGTGTATGTGTGTGTATGCTTTGTAAAATTGAATTGTGGTTAAGCACAGCTCATATCGAGCAGAAGTTTTACAACATTAAATAGCAATCTTTAGTAAAATGAAAGTAAATTTTTAGGTAAATTTTCCAATAAAGGCAGATAATTAATTCCAGAGATTAGAAGCCCAAGGGAGAAAATAAGAATTCCAGAAAGAACCTGAGACTCAATAACCAGGTGATTTAGGAAGCAACAACAAAAGGCTATCCGGTAATGCCAGAGACTGGACATTTCTTAAAACCACTGTCCTGAGATCATCAGTGGGTTTTCATGTGAGATGATGGGGCAGCTCTGTGCACATCAGGTGTATGCATGCAGAGCACTCACCTTTAAGCTTCTGTTCTTCTGGAACCACTCTCAGCACCAAATTCTGTATCTATCAGGGTGCAACCAGAGGCCAAACCCATAGGTGATTCATTCTCTCTATCTCTCTGTCTCTCTCTTTCTGTCTCTCTCTTTCTCTCTTCTCCATCCATCCACTAGGAAAAGTAACTTATGCAAATGTGGAAGCTAGCTAAGCAGACTCAGGTTGTAGACACCATACCTGATGCTGGACCTTGAAGCCCACAGGGCAGGCAGTCAGGAGGGAAGATCCGAAGCAGGCTCAAACCCACAAGCTCTAACTGGTACTCCACGAGAATGGACTCAGTCCATTCTTATCGCTCATGGCCTTGGTGAACAGGTCATTCTGCAGAAGCCAGGCCCTTTGTCACAGAACTATACACACACACCTGGCCCAGGAGTCGGAGAAGCTGACAGGATCCAAGGGAATGTAGAGGGATGCAGGCCTGACTGGGCTTCACACCAACAAGCAACACTGGGTAGGAGCTACACAATGGCTGTTCTTCCCTTTGTCTTCCATCTCTCTCAAGAGTCTCCCTCATGGCCTACCTTAACTAGAAATATACAAGAAAGGGAATTCTGAGAAATTTCATTCAGCCTATTCAAGTAGACACATTGCAAAGCCATCACATTCTTTAATGTTTATGTGTCTCTTCAGATCCTCCTTTCGTTCTTGAGTCAGCTTTAGTAAACTATATTTTCCCCTATGAAATCGTCCATTGTCCAATTTTCTAAAAAAATTATTGGATAAAGTTATTCACTGTATTTTTAGCAATTTCTGCTAGAGCTTGTTATATTCTTTTTTGGTCATTAATATTATCTTCTTATATGGTTTCTAATTTCATTGCATTATGATCAGAGAATATAGTCTCTTTGTAACCAATTGCCTGATATTTGAGACCTTTTTAGTGGTCTAATACAGTGATTTTCAACTGGCATGCTGCAAGAATTTTTAAAACATGCAATACCTGATCATTATTCAGTCAGGGGCACTGATCTCTTTTCCCTTATACTGACAAATAAAAAAAAATGAGAGCAGCCAATACAATAGCCATCCAGTGTGAATGAATCAAAATTATACCTATTATTTTTTGTCAGATTGGCAAAAATATAGTTTTTGGTGTGTCATAGAATTTTAGTAATTAGTTTATGTGGCCAGGAGTTGAAAAAGATTGAAAATCACTGGTCTAATACATGATCCATTTTTATATATGTTCCATGTGTTCATGAAAATAATATGCATTCTCTAAAATTAATTGCAGAGTATACACATACAGACACACACATAATCAGGTGGATTAATTTGGCTGTCCAATCTTCTATATACTAACTTATTTACATTATCAATTACTGACAGATATATTCAAAATCTTCCTCTATTTCTTCTAGTAGCTATGTCAATTTTTGCATTATAAATTTTAAAGCTCTTTTATTATATGCATGTTTATAAATATTATATCTTCCTGGTGAATCACTCCTTTTAGCATTCAGTAATGACCTTTTTTTATGCCTAATGATATTCTTTGCCTTAAAGTCTATCCTGTCTAATGTTAACATTGCTATGACTTTAATTATGCTCTTTTCCCCTACCCCATAGGTTTCCCTTTACTTTCCTACCAGCTCAGTTATATTTAAAAATATATTTGTTATATTTTATCCATTATTTTGGTGTACATAGCAGGCAGTGTTGTAGAAAATATATCTACCCTGTCATATTGATAGATCTATAAGTTCTCAAACTTAGAGAAAAATTAAAATACACTTGCCTTTAAACAGACATCTCTTCTTGTGTTTGATATGCCATCGGAATAGCAGAATAAATTACAAAATGTATGCATAACCAAAGCCTCATCTTACTTACCCATGAAGGTGTCAAACCATATTCAAGGCAGGAATCAAGCTGAAAGTGTTCACTTTGTATCTCCAACGTACAACAAAATAATATGTTTTCAAATGATACATTCCCACAGCTTACCTTGAGAATCTGATATGGCCCCCCACCCCAAAGGGTGGTTCCCTCACAATTAAGAATTACTGGTTTATGGTATCACCAAAGAAGATTACAGTTGAAAGCTGGAAATGCTTTATTACATTAGCAGTTCAGTATTCCTCCTCCTATTCCTGAGCCACTTACAGATGGTGTAGTTTTTGTTTGTTTCCTGTGTTCTACAGGTTTTTTCTTTTAGTATGTTTCTAAACTGCTTTGGTCTCCTGGTTAGTGGACATCAAAGAGACCAACACTAGGCCCAACATCAGTTTCTCTCTAGAAATGTGTGGTCCTGCCACTGGAGCTGACATTTAACCTAGTCTTAACAAAACAGCTTACTAGGCACTTCTAATACCCACATTACACATCTGCTCATGGCAGAAATTGGGCCTATTGTTTCTACCACTGGTACTGCAAAAACACTGTATTAGTGACTATATTCTTGAGGGAAAGCTCTACTTCTTGTTAAGCAAGTTGGGTCTTTGATTTGTGCAAGTTGTCAAGTTGGTGTACGACATAGAAAGCCTTTAAAAACTCGTTGAAGTCGATGCTTCCATCTTTGTTCAAGTCCATTCTTTCAGCAAGCTCATCAACTTGGGAATCACCAATATGAAGGTTGTAGTGACTACAAAAAAGTTTCCACATGGAATGGAATTCTTCCATAGAGATAAGACCTAAAAGAATATAGGAGAAGGATGTGAGTGTTCATTTTAAGACCCAGTGAAGGGAGGGGTGTGGAAGCCATACAGATTGAATAGTCCCAATTTGAATTTCACTAACATGCAGAAGGAAAAGATATGCTGGGACTCAATAAGAGCATTGCAAACAAGGACCCTGTCATTTTTTATAGGCAATAATTTTGTGTTTTTACCATTCATTTTTTAGTGTTCAATAATCTCTGTAGTTAAGGATTATCTGATGATTTTTTTTAAGTTTGAAAATATGGGAGGTGGGCACACGATGCAATATACAGATGATGTATCATAAAATTGTATACTTTAAACCTATATAATTTTATTAACCAATGTCACCCACAATAAGTTTAATGAAAAAACAAGTATTTCCGCAAGAAATAAAAAGTTTGAAAATAAGTAATTGTGCAGCAAAGCTAAGCAGAAAATGAGTTTCCATAACCCTCAGTCCCAAAAATAGAATCAGAAGTCTAGGAATGATTTTTATTGCCAGGAGTAACGATGATGTTTAAATGACAGTGAATTATCTTTTCATCTGTGCTGGTGATTTATAAAAGAAGCTATTCTTGTCTGACTACTGGATACATAGGCCTACATAGGAGTATATAGTCTTGAATACAGTTTGTAGCCAAATTAAAATAACAATAGTATTATAGTTGAGTTCTCCCCTACCCAAGTTAAATCAAGTTTGGGTAAAGTATGCAATAGATGAAAACAGAGTTCTGGTTTCAGAGAAACAAACTAGCCTTTGCTCACTGCTAGTGAACTAATCCAAGTTCCTTTACCTGAGTGGTCAGAGTCAATGACATTAAAAATGATTTGCAGGTCAGATCGGTATCTGTACAGGGTTTCAATGAGAGCTGACTGAGCCTGAAATAAAGATTTTCTAGTGTTAAAATATAGAATTAATAACATAGATCAGTTTTAGTAAACATAACAAGCATAAAACACCATCACCAATTCAAAGTAGGGGATTTAGATAGCCATTTGAAAAGGCAATTCTTCCTTGGAGGCTTAACGCTCTTTGTTTTTATTATTATTTTTTATAATAATAAATTTATAATAAATCTTTATTGTTCAGATTATTACAGGTGTTCCTCCCCCATAGCTCCCCTCCACCTGATTCCCCTCCCCACCCCATGCCTTTACCCCTGCACTGTCTTCATCCATAGGTGTAAGATTTTTGTTAACCCTCTTTAATCAGATAAAGGACCATGCTCTTACGTTCTGAGGGGTCTGCAGTCTGCACTCCCCAAGGGACAGGGCCAAAGAAAATCAGTAAATAACAGCCAATATTTACTGAGAGCACCTTGTGTTGTGCCAGGCTCTGCACTGAGAGTTTTTCTGTGGGTTGTTTCACTCAGTCCTTAACACAGCCCCAAGGAAAGAACTACTATTATGTCAATTTTACAGACTAAAGAACAGAAAGGTAAAGTAAGTTTCCCAAGGTTCATAGAGCTGATAGGTGGGGATTGAATCTCAGCTGCCTGAAACCAAGGCCTATGAGCTCAGTCACCATGGTAAATTGCCTCTTAAGTGAGGCACCAAGTCTCCTTCTTGTGAATATTTGAGGCTCCCACCTGCACTTTTACTTCCTCTCTCTGCTCTTAACTTCTCACCTCCCTCCAATCATTTCAGTCTTAGTTTCCATCAGCTCACTTTCAGCCCAATATTAAAACTAATTGCTGATGAGTCATTAATTAATAAGTATGGGGGGGGGTCTGACAACTCTTTCTGGGGTATTTTAAAGTATTTATAATAAAGGATTATAAACTTTAAAAGTCCTTAAGGTGCCTGGCCAGCTTGGCTCAGTGGTTGAGCATCAACCTATGAACCAGGAGATCATGGTTCAATTCCCAGTCAGGGCACATGCTTGGGTTGTGGGCTCCATCCCCAGTGGGGGGCGTGCAGGAGGCAGCCAATCAGATTCTCTCATTATTGTTGTTTCTATCTCTTTCCTCCTCTCCCTTTCTCTCCAAAATCAATACAAATATATTTTTTAAAAGCCCTTAAGGTATAAAGTGTCATGTCAGTAAGACTATACACTCCCAGTTGAAAAGGGAATATATTGAGTATTTTAAAGGCAGTGTTATATGAAAGACTGGATGTCACATCTGCACTTCTGCTGGACAGCACTTAAGGAATCACACATTGGACATGATTTGCTTGCAGAAGCTTTTTCTCTCTTTTGCTTATCATTAGAATGCACTTTCCTGAATAGACCACAATGCACCTGGGAGATCCCTCGTAGGCCTTTCCTAAGATTGTCATTTCTGTCCACTAGACGATTCCACTCCCATCTTTTCAAAGGACCAAGTTACTCTTATAGGTTGCCCAAAGGGTGTTTTTAGCCAGGTTTCAGCCGGGGCTGCGTTTCACTTGCCTCTTTCACAGGTTTTTGAATGTGAATGTCGTGGAAGCAAGTCATGTAGTCAATGTTTCCATCTTGGTCAGTGAGAACGAGATGTGAGCTCAGGCTTCTCCATGGCAAGTTCAGTCCCAAAACGTTTTCCATAGAAAAAGCCCACTGCCCCATAGATATTTTTCCTAACAATAACAACCAAAAAGAAAGAGACAAGAAAAAAAGCCTATTAATTGGTTCATAATTTGATTTTTAAAATGCAAACTCCTCAGGGAAGCCAGTGGGAAGCCTGGGGTTTCAATGCCTCCTGCTCCCCTTTCCAGTCTGTCCTACCAGGCCCCGGGGCTCCAAGGGAGGAACTACTAAAGAAAGTCTTTGATATTCCACAGCTCTTTGCTATTATGTGTAAGCAGTCAGACTTCGGGTGTTAGATGTCTCTTTCCTTTTTCTGATTAACAAAATAAAGTATTTTATAATAGAAGATTTGAAATGCAAAAGAATACAAAGAAAAAGTTATATAAAGGACAAAAGATTACTTTTATCTTTAATATTTTGACATATTGTTCCCTTTTCATTTTCCCAGATTAAATGCCCTTTAATCCCCTAATATAATATGTAGTTTTTCAAAATATAAATCTTTATTTTTCCTGATTATTAAAGACATGCTTATTTGAAATGCTTTTGAATAAACAGGAAATAAAACAATATTCTCAATTTATATGTCCATTCTACTGTTGGCAGACACTGGATTATCTCCAATTTGGGGCTATCACAAACAATGCTGCTAAGAACATTTCCATACATGCCCCTTTGATGAATTGAACCGATAGCTCAATTTGGGGAGAATTTATATCTTGACAGCATTGGCCATTGAACATAGTAATATCTACCCATTGACTTCAATTCTTTTTCATTTCTTTTAATAATATTTTAAAAGCCTCACTCACCAATCATTTGGTTTCTTCCTTGGTACTTGATTATCTATTATAAATGGTATATTTTAAGGTTTTATTACCAATAAGTTCATTGCTAGCTACACTAACTATCAATTTATTACCACTTGGCTCCAAATGTACCCTTCCTTGCCCTGTTTTGTGATATTGGAGCTGAATCCTATAATTTTTTTTTTTTTTTTGGCAGCTGGTATAATGTTAGGCTTTGTCAGCAGAGGGTTCAGGAAGAATACTCTAAGACATGGCAAAAGAAATGGTCTTGTATGCTTTGCTTCCTACTCACTAGTGAATTTAGCTGATACCACAGTGGTGCCTCCCTTGCCAGCAGTGTGTGCGAGACATAGTGGTGGACACCTCAAAGAGAGTTTTGCTGGTACCCTGTTTTCCCAAAAATAAGACAGTGTCTTATATTTATTTTTTCTCCCAAAGTTGCACTAGGACTTATTTTCGGAGGATGTCTTATTTTTGGGGAAACACGGTATTACAGTGGGTGGCTTCATCCTCTCTAGCCCTGTCCCTCTAGCTGCAAACCAACACTGACCTGAGACACATCAGTGACCTTCTACTCCCTGCAGTGAGCCACAGTCACACCTTCACTGACGAGGTCTGAATCTTAGCCTTGGTTGGAAGTAGGAGATGCTTCCAAGTTTGTTCCTTCCTTGGGTACCCTCTCTCAGCTTTAGAGACAGTAGCTGTTCCCTACACTTCCTATTCCTATATTCTTTTATCTCTTTTCGTAATTAATAATTTTTTGCTAGTTAATAATTCTTTATACTAAGTTTCACTGTTCAAAACAGAGTTGTAGTTTCTATCTTCTGAATAGGCTCTGACTAATACATGGTGGTATTTTATTTTTTTTCCTTTCTAATTCTTATGGTTTTAACTTGCCTTATTTCATTGGCTAATATCCCTAGTAAAATGTTGAACAGTATTAAGAGTAGGCATCCGTATTAGTTTCCTACTGCTGTTATAACAAATTACCACAGAATTAGTAGCTTAAAATAATACAAATTTATACTCTTAGACTTCTGGAATTTCTAAGTCCAAAATCACTTTCATAGAGAGATGCAGCCTAGAGATTTATCATACTTACTGTGAGGCTGGTAAATGCACTACAATTCTGCCTCTAGATTCTAGCAATTTTTTAACAGGCAGGCCTTCCACAGTGTCTAGTCTGACATTTTACCAAAATAGAATTTAAATTCAGGATTGTTGTTTGAAAGGAGGTTACTGAAAAGGAGGACTACGCCTTTTTCCCAGCATATAGTGGACTATATTTTATTTTATCTCTGTCATTCCTCACTACTAAAAATAGAGAACTGAGATCTTAAGGAAGCAAAGAAAATAAAAACAGATCTGTATATAACCTGGCATGTTAAGAAATGTAAGCATTACATAATTTTATTACCTGATTTAGTACGGTCTTGAAGTTGGAAACTATGAATGAGGTCAGTTTTTCGTGAAATGATTCGCTCTTTCAATATCCTGATGGCACTACTTTCTATGGTATTCACCCTATGTTAAGAATACAATTATTAGGTGAAAATTACATAAATTATCATGTTCTGTTTCATTTTAATGTACTATGTTACCACTCACCAGTTTCTACTTTTAAAAAAAAGTTTTAATTGATTTCAGAGAGAGGAAAGGAGAGGAAGAGAGATAGAAACATCAATTATGAGAGAAAATCATTGATCGGCTGCCTCCTGCACACTCCACACTGGAATGGAGCCCGCAACCCAGGTGTGTGCTGACCAGGAATCAAACCATAACCACCTGTTCATAGGTCGACAGTCAACCCCTGAGCCACATCAGCTGGGCAATAAAAACATTTTTTTTCAAAATTAGCCTGCTACATTTAGTCAAACATTTAATTAACTCAATCCTAATGCCTTGGCAGGGCCAGACCACAGGATTTCGTGGGCCATATAAGGTCAGAAATACCTCACCCCTGTTATATACCAAATTAATAGAATAAAGAACAAAAACCACATGATCATCTCAATAGATGCAGAAAACTTATCTGACCAAATCCAATATTCTTTCATTGATAAAAACACTCCACAAACTAGGCATAGAAGGGAACTTCCTCAACTTGACAAGGGGCATCTACAAAAAATAATACAGTTAAATACTTAATGATGGAAGACTAAATGGTGTCCCTGTTAAGACTGGGAACAAGACAAAAATATCTGCTTTCACCACTTCTATTCAACATTGGTCTGAAGGGTCTAACCAGGGCAATTAAGCAAGAAAAAGACATAAAGACATCCAGACTGGAAAAACAAGTAAAACTATCTCCATTTGCAGATAATATGATCTTATATATAGAACATCCTAAGGAATCTGCTAAAAACTAACAGAACTAATGAAAAAGTTCATCAATGTAGCACAGAACACAAAAAATAAATTTATTTCAATACACTAAAAATGAACCATCCAACAATATAATTAACAAAGAAATCCAGCTTCTGCACAGCAAAGGAAATCAGCATCAAAATGAAAAGAGAGCCCACTGAATGGGAGAACATATGTGCCAATGATACATCTGATAATGGGTTAATTTCCAAAATATATAAAGTACTTATACAACTTAACAAAAGGAAGACAAACAACCCAATAAAAAAATGAACAGATTAAAACAGATACTTCTCCAAAGCAGACATACAAATGGCATATGGGAAAATGAGACATATGGAAAAAAATGCTCAACGTCACTAGTCATTAAAGATATGCAAATTAAAACAATAATTAGGTACCACTTTACACCTGCCAGGATGGCTACCATCAATAAATCAACAGACAAGTGCTGGTGGGAACGTTGAGAAAAGGGAACCCTAGCATACTGCTGGTGGGTATGCAAACTGGTACAATCACTATGGAAAACATCATGGAGTTTCCTCAAAAAATTAAAAAATGGTACTGCCATTTGACCCAGTGATCCCACTTCTAGGAATATATCTTAAGAAATCCGAAACATCAATCAGAAAGAGCATATGCACCCCTATGTTCATAGCAGCGCAATTTATAATAGCTAAGATCTGGAAACAGCCCAAGTGCCCATCAGTACACAATGGAATGCTATGCAGCAGTAAAAAGAAGGATCCCTTACCCTTTGAGACAGCATGGAGGGACCTGGAAAGTATCATGCTAAGTGAAATAAGTCCATCACAGAAAGATAAGTATCACATGATCTCACTTACATGTGGAATCTAATGAACAAAATAAACTGACAAAATAGATCCAGAGACAAGGAAACATGCAACAGACTGAGGATTCTTAAGAGGGAAGGGGGGAGGGGAGAGAGAAATAAAAGAACTTATATGTATATATGCATAACCCATGGACTTATGTGAAGGCCTGGGGAGGGGAAATGAGTGGGAAGGAGGCAAGGATCAATGGGGGGGGGGGGGGAAAGCACCTGTAATACTTTCAACAATATAGATTTTTTAAAAAGAAAAGAACTCCACTTACTATAGTACCAAAAGGAATAAAATACTTAGAAATGAATTGAACAAAAGTCGTCCAAGACTTATACACTGAAAAGCACAACACTGTTTAAGGAAATGAAAGGTCTAAATAAATAGAATAATATGGATCGGAAGACTTCATATTGTTAAGCTGCCAATAGCCACAAAATCAATCTATAGCTATAAATTAATCCCTATCAAAATCCCAGTTGGCATTTTTTGCAGAAGTTGAGATGCTGATTCTAAAATTCATAGACAAATGTCATGGACACAGAATAACCAAAACTATCTCAAAAAAGAAGAACCAGGTTCGACTCACATTTCCCAGTTTCAAAATTTACCACAAAGGTATAGTGATCAGGACAGTGTATTACTCACATTAGGCTAGACATATAGATCAATGGGATACAATTTAAAGTCCAGAAATAAACCTGTACCTTTATGGTCAATTGCTTTTTGACAAGTGTGCCAAGACAATTGAATGGGGGACGGATAGTCTTCCTGACTGATTGCGCTAGGACAACTGAATGTCCGCAAGTACAAGAATGAAGTTGGATCCCTAGCTTACACCATACAAAAATTAACTCAAAATGGATCACACACCCAATTGTAAAAATTTACTCAATAAAATTCTTAGAAGAAAACATAGGAATGTGTTTGGGGTTAGGCAATGGCTTCTTAGATTTGACAAATCATATATCGAGTAAGTGACATGTATACAGGATATATAAAGAACTCTTACAACACAATAATATAAAATGGGGGAATAATATACATAGGAAATTCAAAGAAGAGAAAACGCAATTTCTAAAAACATAAGAGGTAAACTCAGCTTGGCAAAAATAAGAATAGGGTTATAATATCTGAGACTAATGAGGATGTGAAGAAACAGTATTTTGTTCTTCAGGTTGTTAATTATTACAACTTTTGGAGAATCCAGCAACATTTTAAATATATAAATCCATAAATCTCATATTTTGAAATCTTACCTAAAAACAGGACTAAAACTGATGCATATATATACACACACAGAAAGAAATGTTTATTATAGTATTGTTTTTAAGTGGAAAACCCTGGAATCATTCTGGATGGTCATTATTTGAGTAAGACTTACTGACTTTACAACTGTTATGGCATGTGTAGGCTACAGAATATTATGTATCTACTACAAAGAATGAATTAGGTCTATATGTACTAACTTGGAGTTGTGTTCATGATAGAATCTTTAGGGGAATAGTCAGTCGTAGAATAGAGTGTGCAGTGTGATTTGTGATTCTCTCTTTATAAAAAGTAATGTATGTATGGTGTTTATTGGTTTTCTCCTCCTACTAGGATATGCATTTGATGAGGGAAAGGATTTTTGCTTATTTGGGTTATTGCTATATCACCTGTGTCTAAAACAGTGTCAGATACATAGCATGTGCTCAATTTGGTTTTTTATTCAATGAATTAACTATTGCTTGTTTATTTTTGTAGGAGCAAGGAGAACAGGGTGGAAGGTCCACAATAGGCTATTAATTTCAGTTATCTATAGGGAAAAGGATTATTAAAAAGTAGGGGGAGAGATGATTAACATTTTCTTTATCTATATATATATATATTTTTGGTCTCACTTCTTTTGTCTCACTTCTTAATAATAAATATATTCATTTTATAATGAAAAATGTTAAAAAGATAATGTTAAAGAGATAAAAAGAAGACAACCTATGAATGCCATTATATGGAGAAACACACACAACTCTTTTGTCATATACACTGCAGGATAGAGAAGAGACAAAGAAGTAACTCCAGACTGGGCTGTCTGAGGGTGGGAACAGACAAAAACTATAGGTTACAGGGCTGGGTGGTGTGGGAACCTTTTTTTTTTTTTTTTTACATTCAATTAAGGACTGGATGTTGACCACTTTATTCATCTAAAGAGATGTATAAATTTAAAAATTGCTCTTCTTGTTGTCAAATAATATGACTGTATTCGCTACTTTGTGTCTGGAACTATTTTCATACCAATGAGTAAACAATAAGTAGTTATCTTCACCCTCGTGGCTGTTCTTAATCACTTTGGATTGGTTCTATTTGATCACCAGTACCAGTGTTCAGAGTATACACACCTTTGATGAAGAGGTCCTAAGCACGTTGCCTTGGTTACTTGGTACTGGAAAAATCGCAGATTGGTATTAAAACCCACCTTGATGTAAGCTCCTCTATTGCTGCCTTCTTCATAATAATTAGAAGCAGAAAATACCGTAATAACCTGATTAAAGAAAAAGAGGATCAGCTTTACATAGAGGTAATTCTCAAAATGTCCTTCAATAAAGTCAGAAATAGCTCAAATCTTAAAAAAGCAAAAATCAAACCAAGTTCAGAATCCATACAAATCATTCAAGTCTGCAAGACTTCTTTTCCGTGATTCCACTGGAGAGAAACAAGGCTTTTAAATCAGTGTCCCCAGAAGTACTGATTTCTAGCCTTCACCCTCACAGGGTGTGGCCTTGCAATCCTGTGCATAATCTCAGCTTCAATCTTAGAATCTTCCTTAATGCTGTTTTGCAAATTCTAAATTTTCCAAGGGGGAAAAGCCTTTATTTTCTTTCCTTGTGATATCTGAGCATTCAAAATAAAACTTGTCTAGTATCAGTCTTTTGCTTTTGCTTGGAACTGACTGATTTAGAGGCCCCCGAACCCTCCACAAAACCAGTGCTTCAAGGGCATAGAAACGGTGGCTAAAATAAGGGACCACGGCCATTCTGTTGGCCTTGGGGCTGTGGTGGAGGATGGAGGGTAACATCTGTCTGTGGCAAGAAACTTTGCTTAGGTCAAATCCTGTCCTAATAAGTCACTGCTATTTTCTCTCCTAGCAAACTTGATTCATGGCTGCCTTTTATGTGCTCAATGGGGATAAGTACAATGAGCATAAGTACATTACCAACAATCCTATATAATTACAGGGTAATATGCAAAATGACCCTAAGGGCAGAATGACCAGGAACAACTGGTAGCTATGATGTACACTGACCACCAGGGGGCAGACGCTCAAGGCAGGAGCTGTCCCCTGGTGGTCAGTGTGCTCCCACAGGGGGAGCTCTGCTCAGCCAGAAACCAGGCTGATGGCTGCAAGTATAGCAGTAGCAGTGGGAACCTCTCCCACCTCCTTGGCAGCAATAAAGATGTCTGACTGTGGCTTAGGCCTGCTCCCCAGGGGACATCCCCTGAGGGCTCCCAGGCTGCCAGAGGGATGTCTGATTTCCAGCTTAGGCCCCATCCCCCAGCGAGCGAGCCTAAGACAGCAGGTGGACATCCCCTGAGGGGTCCTGGACTGCAATAGAGTACAGGTCGGACTGAGGGAGCCTCTTGAGTGCATGAATTTCTGTGTACCAGGCCTCTAGTCTCTAAACAATACTTGCCATAACCACCTCGCAATTGTTAGTAAGAGCCTGAAATGTACTAATATAGTTAGGAAAAGCAAAAGTGTTGAAATGGAAGGAAATAACATGCAAATTTATTTTCTTTTGTATTCATCATTGTTAAGTGTTAGAAAAAAGGGGCATCCCAGGACAAATTGGGACAAGATACCCGTTCCTCAGTCCTAGAGCCTTATCACACACCTCTGCAGGAGCACAATATACTCCATTTTAGTGGCTTCAGCTTAACTAGAGTGAGTGACTTCCTAGAGATCACCTCCTTAAGGGAGTGGAGGGGAAGGGTGTTTTGTTGCTCTGCCCTGCACCAGGAACATGCAAAGGCGAAAGAGAGCAAACTTGATTCATGGCTGCCTTTTATGTGCTCAATGAGGATAAGTATTGTACATTCTCAACCCCACCTTAATGGCGAGTTGTCTTCGATCAGTAAAAGCCTTTCTCTGTGTGTACTTAGTGTTGCATGTCAGTTTCTGTCTTTGGGATTAGGGAAGATTACGGAATTAAACCAAATATCCCTTAGGGCGAGGGACAAAGAGGCCCCGTCCAACAATGTATGTGAGCCCTGCAGTCTCCTGTTTCTGTCTACCAAAGCATGGCCTTCTCTCTAGGTACCAGGGAGCACATCTTCCATGGGCCTTTAGGTGAGACACATCCTGTGAAGAAAGATTGCTTGGGGGAAGGATGTCTATGATGTCACCAACAATGTTAACTTACCTTCCCATCATGGCAGACTTCATACCCTTCTGGTTTACACTCGTGAGATCTAATGAGAAGCTTCAAATGGTTTTTATTAAGAAACTTCGTGGTGACATCTGGCCCAAAATAGCAGCCCCCTCCTCGACTTGTGTTTGGGTAACAGCCTCGTTTCCCACGAGGATCGCTCCACAGAATATCGATGACCTTAAAACAACAAATAGATTAGGCTGCTACCCTGTTTCCCCCGAAAATAAGACAGTGTCTTATATTAATTTTTTCTCCCAAAGTTGCGCTAGGTCCTATTTTCAGGGGATGTCTTATCTTTCCATGCGCTAGGTCTTATTTTCGGAGGATGTCTTATTTTCAGGGAAACAAGGTTTTTACAAGTGAAAATTTATTTTCTATATTCCAACTTCTTTTCCAGAAATATTTACCCACATTTTCTTACTATTTCTCATTCCTCCTTCAAAATTGTTTCATATTTTTATCCTCCATGAATCTCTGTGAGAAGTTTTAATGCTATAGCCACCACAATCCCTTTCTGCTCATTCCCAATAACCAATGTTGCAATAATAGTAACTAATGTAGAAATACCTAGTAATCATGAAGAATCAGCCCTTGGCTTTTTTAATCCATCACAAATGTTTCACAATTGCTAAATCTACAAAAGTATTTTTTCTTGAAAGAACTTAATTGTCGCCCTAGCTGGTTTGGCTCAGTAGATAGAGCTCAGCCAGAGGACTCAAGGGTTCAATTCCGGTCAAGGCCATGTACCTTGGTTGTGGGCACATTCCCAGTAGGGGTGTGCAAGAGGCAGCTGATTGATGTTTCTCTCCCATTGATGTTTCTAGCTCTTTATCCCTCTCCCTTCCTCTCTATAAAAAAAATCAATAAAATACATTTTTTTTTAAACTTAGCCGAAACATGTTTGGCTCAGTGGATAGAGCGTCAGCCTGTGGACTGAAAGGTCCTAGGTTTGATTCCGGTCAAGGGCATGTACCTTGGTTGTGGGCACATCCCCAGTAGGGGGTGTGCAGGAAGCAGCTAATTCACTCCTTGCATTCTGCATTTCTTTTCTGTCTAGAATTCATTCACTTGAGTAGGTTTACCCAGACTGTGGCTATAAAATAGATTTAATTCTGAGGTTCTCAAACAAAAACTTCTATAAAGGGTGAAACAAATTCCTAGGCAGAGATAATCTGTCTTCTCGAGAACACCCTCTCTCCTCTGACATGCTGGGTATTTTGGGTGATAAGTGCAAGAAAGAATAACTACTTACCATTCTTTCCTGAAATTGTAAAACCAAAAATTGTAAAAATTTTACTGAATGACAGCTTTTTTATAACCTGGTCAATAAATAACTGATTACAAAACACTGTTCAAATTAAAGATCTAAAGAAATTGAAAGACATCCCATGTTCATGGAGTTGAAGATATAATATTTAAGAGTGCAATAGCACCTAAATTGATCCATAGATTCAAGGAAATACCTACCAAAATCTCAGTTGTTTTTTGGTAGAAATTGACAAACTGACTGAAATTCATATGGAAATTTAAGGGACCCAGAAAAGTTAAAAATAAATAAATAAAATAAATAAAAACTTGAAAAAGAAGAAAAAAGTGTGAACCCACACTTTCCAGTTTTAAAACTTCGTACAAAGCTACTGTGATCAAAACTGTGTAGCACTAACATAAGGATAAACATATAGATCACGAAATATAATTAAGAATCTAGAAATAAACCTTCATATTTATAATCAATTGATTTTTGGTGGGAGTGCCAAGAAAATTCAGTGGGATCAGTCTTTTTTAACAAGTGGTGCTGGGATGACTGGATATCCACATATAACAGAATGAATTTTAACACCTACCTCATACCATATAAAAAAATTAACTAAAAGTTGATCAGACACCTAAATGTAAGAGCTAAAACTATAAGACTCTTAGAAGAAAACGTAGGAATAAATCTTCATGACTTGGGGTTAGGCAATGACTTCTTAATTATAATACCAAAAGCATGAAGCAAAAGCACTGAGTAAAAGAAGCCAGACACAAGAGATCACATATTGTAAAATCTCCAGAAAAGACCAAAACTAGATTAGTGGTTACCTGAGGCTAGAGAAGCAGGGCTGGGAGAGTGGGAAGATGGGGAGGAAATGGGGAGTGACTGATAATAGGTGTGGAGTTTATTAGGTGATAAAAATATTCTAAAATTAGATTGTTGTAATAGCTGCACAACACTGTGAAAATATTTTTAATATATTTTATTAATGTTTTACAGAGAGGAAGAGAGAGGAATAGAGAGTTAGAAACATCGATGAGAGAGAATCATCGATCAGCTGCCCCCTGCACACCGGATGTGCCCACAACCAAGGTTCATGCCCTTGACTGGAATCAAACCTGGAACCTTTCAGTCCCCAGGCCGATGCTCTATCCACTGAGCCAAACTGGTCTCGGCGAAAATATTAAAAAAAAAAATTATATACTTTAAATAAATACGTCATGTAGTATGTGAATTATCTTATATATTAAAGAGGGAATATGCAAATTGACCATCACTCCAACATACAAGATGGCCACCCCCATGAAGTCAAAGATGGCTACTCCCATGTGGACACAAGATGGCTGGCAGGGGAGGGCAGTTGTGGGTGATCAGGCCAGCAAGAGAGGGCTGTTGGGAGGGACCAGGCCTGCAAGGGAAGGCAGTTGGGGGCAACCAGGCCTGCAGGGGAGGACAGTTAGGGGCGACCAGGCCTGCAGGGGAGGACAGTTAGGGGCAAACAGGCTGGCAGGGGAGCAGTTACGCATCAATCTGACTAGCAGGGGAGTGGTTAGGGGATGATCAGGTTGGCAGGCAGAAGCAGTTAGGGGCAATCAGGCAGGCAGGCAGGCAGGCGAGCAGTTAGAAGCCAGCAGTTCTGGATTGTGAGAGGGATGTCTGACTGCCCTCAAAGGGTCCCAGATTGGAGAGGGTGCAGGCTGGGCTGAGAGACACACAAACACCCATGCAGAAATTTTGTGCACCGGGCCTTTAGTATATCAATAAAGCTGTAAAAATATAGTGATCAATTCAGTGAGAAGAATATGATCTGTGTATAAAGGTAAGTCACTTTTTATCTCTATATTGTAAGAGACAACATAATCTATGCTGTGTCTTCTTTGCCACTTTGGTGAACAATCTAATTACTTACCTGTTCCCACTCATGCTTTGTTAAATAATCAGAAGGTGATCCACTTAATTTGATTCCCCGAGGCGTATATCCTTTAGTCTTCTTCATTTCAGTTCCTACATCTTTATCCACTGGAACTGGTGGCATCAACACAGATTTCATCTATAAAACAAATTCTTGCTTTAGTCAAACCCTATGCTTGGTGTGCTGACAAGCAGAAACTTCAGTACCAGTTGCTGTTCTCTCTACATTGTTGTGCCTGAACCCAATGAAAAACGCACAGTCATCTTTTGCATCTTACTCATTTCTTTTATCTTAGTGATCCACTGATATATAGAAAGTGAGCCTGTTAAATTATGCTTGTACATTTTTCAAATAGAAAAACTTCCCTACAGGGAAAGTTTCCCATTAGTTTCTAAAGGACCCTAGAGGCACATATGTCAGTGCTAGACATGTTCTGAGGCATCATCTCAGGAAATGGAAGATGCTAAGGGAAAACTATCTCCCTCTGAGCCTTTATCTATACATGGGGCTAAGAGAGAACCAACAGGCTTCGATTTCAGAAATACCCCAAAAGTGGCTACTCTTCATTTTGTTGTGTTTTCCTGGAGAAATGAGAGAAAGTACATTTATGTCCAGGAGAGTTCTCAAAGAGGACATAACTTGAAAACTTTGGAAGCCCTTCAACTTAAATGCAATGTGGTCTCAATCTGACCCTGCCAGCAATTGGTACTATTCTCTAATCCTACTAATAAAAGTGATGCATTTCTTTGGAAAATAAAATATCTTTCTGATAGTATGCCAATTACTATAATCCCTTCAATATTCTCTTACATAACTCGAGACTATAATTTTACACTTGTTTCTTTGTAGCACCCTACCCTTATCCTATCTATCGATAATAAAACAGTAATATGCAAATTGACCGTACCTCCGCTACACCCACAAGCCATGTCCATCGGCCAATCGGGAGCAACTATGCAAATTAAACCAACCAATATGGCTGTGGCCATGGAGCGAGCAGGAGGCTTGGGTTTCCCCAGCAATTGAGGAAGCCAAGCTTCCAACACACCCTGGCTGGCTGTGGACTTCACTCAAGGCTACAAAATTTTAATTATAAAAGATAAATAAATCCCAATAAAAATGGCGGCAGCACAGGTGGCTTGAGTTGCCTCCAGTGATGGAGGAAGCCAAACTTCTGTATCTCTAGCCTGACTGGGCCTGCATTCAAGGCTACAAAGTTTCAATTATAGAAGATAAATAAATCCCAACAAAAATGGCTGCAGCCATGGAGTGAGCATGAGGCCTGGCTCCGCTCAAGGCTACAAAGTTTTAATTATAGAAGATAAATAAATCCCAGATACCAAGGCTTCTGCTTGGGTCAATGGGGGGCGTGACCAGCATGCAAATCTCCACAGGCCCCTCACCCAGGCTACCCCATGCCCCAAGGTAACCCCCACCCTGATCCAGGACATCCTTTGTGCAAACCAGCTGGCCCCTACCCATGAACCAGGCCTCTATCCTATATAATAAAAGAGTAATATGCAAATTTACCATCACTCCAACACACAAGATGGGTATACCCATGTGGACACAAGATGGCCACCACAAGATGGCCAGCAGGGGAGGGCAGTTGGGAGGGACCAGGCCTGCAAGGGAGGGCAGTTGGGGATGATCAAGCCTGCAGGGGAGGGCAGTTAGTGGTGACCAGGCTGGCAGAGGAGGGAAGTTGGGGGGACCAGGCCTGCAGGGGAAGGCAGTTAGGGGCAAACAGGCTGGCAGAGGAGCAGTTAGGCATTAATCAGGCTGGCAGGGGAGTGTTTAGGGGGTGATCAGGCTGGTAGGCAGAAGTGGTTAGGGGCAATCAGGAAGGCAGGCAGGTGAGCAGTTGGGAGCTAGCAGTCCTGGATTGTGAGAAGGTTGTCCAACTGCCCCTTTAGGCCCAATCCCGGTAGGGCAGTCAGATATCCCTCGAGGGGTCCCAGATTGGAGAGGGTACAGACTGGGCTGAGGGACACACACCCCCGTGCATTAATTTTGTGCACTGGGCCTCTAGTTGGTATATAAAAATGGCATTGATTTCTGGGTGTTAATTTTGTATTATGCTAGGTTGTTGCATTAATTTATTAAATCCTATAGTGTTTTTTTAATGGAGTCTTTAGTGTTTTCTATGTGTAATATCATGTCATCTGTGAAAAATGACCATTTTAGTTCCTCCTTTCCAATTTGGATGCCTTTTACTTTTTCTTCTTTTTTGATCACTGTGGCTAAGATATCCAGTACTATGTTGAATAAGAGTGGTGAAAGCAGACATCCCCATATTTTTTCTGTTCTTAGGGGAAATGGATTTAGTTTCTGCCCACTGAGTATGAGATGCTAGCTATAGGTTGTAATATATGGCCTTTATTATGCTGAAGTATAATCCCTCTATTTCCACTTGGATGAGAGTTTTTATAAAAAGTGGGCCCTAGCTGGTTTGGCTCAATGCATAGAGCATTGGCCTGAGGACTGAAGGATCCCAGGTTCAATTCTGGTCAAGGGCACAGCCTACCAGGATCGGGCCTAAACAGGCAGTCAGACATCCCTCAAGGAGTCCCAGATTGGAGAGAGTGTAGGCTAGGTTGAGAGACACACACCCCCGTGCACGAATTTCATGCACCAGGCCTCTAGTACAAAATAATTTTAAACAATATTTCTGCTATATTGGTGGCCTTAGTTCAGTGACAGATCATTCTCTGTGGTAGACTCCTAGTTTCTTCTATTGTATAAACTAGGGTGTTTATGAAATCTTATCTTTGTTTTTCAAAAATAAAATTGAATCTTATTCTGAGTTCTTGTCTCATTGAGATTGTTGGAAATTCAATCTCAGCTATTATTGGTAAGTTCACAACCTACCCAACTCATACCCTTCCCCCAGCAAATGTCCCCAGGTCTTACACGGGGCAGAATATTCTGGGAAGATACTCTGGACTTGGGTCCACACAATATTTGATAAACTCATTGGGCAAGTCCACATGGTCTCTTAAGTACGTACATGTGGATCTTCTTTTTTACGGCCACTAGGGATCAGAATACTTTTTCTCACCCCATTCCTAAGGCCCCACACCATTATTTTCTCCTGGAGGACCTCCTAACCATCCCTTCCCCCATTCCTGCCAGGGAGTTTAAAGAATACTAGGATTTTAATCTTATAGAATATTCCTTCTCTGTCCCTCTGTTTTGACTCATCCTCCCAAACTGCCTACTTTACAAAATGCCTTTAATGAACCTAGAATGTAGGTTGCCATCAGGTTCCCCCAACCCTCCCCCTCCCCTAGTAATAGGTATACCACAACAGGTGTAAATGAGGAGTCATGGTCACCCTACACTTGGAAGGCCCTAAGGGACAAAAAAGTAAGGGTTGTAAATTTGGACTTGAGGCCCTGACCAGATAGCTCAGTTTGTTAGAGCCCTGCCCCCATGTGTCAAGCTTGGAGGTTTAATCCCCAGCTGCAGCATATGCAGGAGGCAACCAATGAATGCATGGGTGAGTGAAACAATAGATTGATGTTTCTCTCTTTCTCCCTTTTCCTCCCTCCTCCCTCTCCCTTCTTCTCTCTCAAATCATTTTTTAAAAAATTGGACTTCAAAATCTACTTTTGTATCTCATCTGGTAGAGTTCTAAAGGACTGAACCTACTACTTTTATTACAGCTCAATTATACTTAATACAACTATGTGCTGCCAGTTCAACCTCACTCTAGGAGAGTAGAAGCTACAAAAACTACATAAGTCAAATTTTTATCTTTAAAATCCATCTTATGAGTTGATAGAACAATGATCTTTATGTGTTATGAAATTTGAGGTACACTGGGAAAATTCGTGGTCTAGAAACTTCTACCCAGGGTCTGTCTTCATGACTGCAATTCAAACCTTAGTCCCAAGTATCAGAGGGAAAAAAGAAAGAGTTGGAAAAGAGAGCTCAATGTTCAGAGCTTACTCTATGATCTTTTCTTCATCTAGGTAATTATATTTAATCCTAATAATTCAATATGATAGGCATTTTTAGCTTCAATGTATAGGTATGAAAACTGAGACCTAGACCACTTTGGTTCCTTGCCCAGTCTCCCAGCCAGAAAGTGGCAGAAGCAGGGTGAAAAGCTAGCTATACCTGTCTGATGTCAGAACTTCATGGTATTTACTAGGTCAAGGTGGCTCTCAATTTAGGCTCTCAATAGAGATAGTAACAGGCATTCCAAAGACATGAGATCTTAATATCTGAAAAACCCTATAGAGGACTACCTGCTTGGGCTAATCTCAGGAAGGGAAAATTTTTCAATCTAATCAATTGGTAGTGGCTGCCACAGCTGATCAGTTCTGTAGTGATAAGACAGGTGGTGATAGAGTGTCTCATTTCTGCTATGTGCTTGCCAATATTTTACTGACAAAAACATCATGTTCCCTTGCTCTTGGCTAGAATCATATCCCCTCATTATGCTAACACTATCTCATGTTTATCGAAACATCTTACTGACTTGACTATTTATTGATACCATGAGAAAGATGCATTAAACTTAGGGTGGCCTTAAACTTTGTTGCAACTGGGATATTTTTGAAGAGTACAGGGAGGTGCTATTAACAGTTATACCAAGACAACAGGTATAAATCAGGAAGTATGATGATCTTTGGGTGAACTTGGGGGGAGGGCGGAGAGAGACTATGCAAAATCACTACAGAATTAGCAGTAGGGTTATAAAAATGTTTTTATGCAGTTCTGTCTTAGGTTTGCCCACTTTGCTCTTAAATCTCTTAGGAGATATTCAATAAACATTGATTTAAGCACTTGTTACATCTTAATTTCTGGGGATGCTGGGGTTATATCAGGGAACTAGAGAAGCAGGGGAAGATAGTAAACAAAGTACCACAGTTTGTTATTTAATTTTAGTAACTGTTATGAAGGATACTAGAGGCCCGGTGCACAAAATTTGTGCATGGGGGAGGGGGTGGTGGTGTCCCTCAGCCCAGCCTGCACCCTCTCCAATCTGGTACCACTCAAGGGATGTCCAACTGCCCGTTTAGGCCCGATCCCACTTGTCTGACCACCCACTGGGATCGGGCCTAAACAGGCAGTCAGACATCCGTCTCACAATCCAGGACTGCTGGCTCTCAATTGCTCGCCTGCCTGCCTTCCTGATTGCTCCTAACCGCTTCTGCCTGCCAGCCCGATCACCCCCTAACCACTCCCCTGCCAGCCTGATTGATGTCTAACTGTTCCCCTGCCAGCCTGTTTGCCCCCAACTTCCTTCCTCTGTTGGCCTGGTCACCCCTAACTGCCTTCCCCTGCAGGCCTAGTGCTTCCCCAACTGCCCTCCCCTGCTGGCCATCTTGTGGTAGCCATCTTGCATCCACATGGGGACAGGATCTTTGACCACATGGGTGCAGCCATCTTGTGTGTTGAGTGAAGGTCAATCTGCATATTACTCTTTTATTAGATAGGATATACAAGGGCTTCAGAGCATATAAAAGGGGATTGATCTACTCTGCACATTATGGTTGGCTTTGCAAGAGGGTATATTTAAGCTGAAATTAAAAGGGTGAGAAGTTAGCAACAATATTATCATTCATATGTGTATAGTGGTATAATTGCTCCAAAAACTCAACGTGAATAGGCGTCACATTTCTGTCCAAATCAGATTAAACTCCAGCTCTGGACTCTACCTACCTAGATTGGTTAGAAATTGGTCATCAGTCCTAAGGGGCAAGGGTTCCTGTTTCTCACTAGGACTATATATGATCATCTGGCTCCACAACTACTATCGGGCTTCATGCCCATATGGTACCCCTAAGCCTCTGGTCAGGGGACTTGGCTGGTACAGAGGGAAGAGAACTCCAGTCATTCTACAAAGCCCAGTGGAAGGAGCCTTTCCCAAAGGTGGGAGAGCTTTACAGGACCCGCACAACCACTTCCCTCAGAGGCTTAATACACGCCCTTGCTCTGTTTCTGTTGTTTTTAATATGATTAATTAGGCTTAAAAATATTTCCAAAAATATTACCCTGAACCATGTGGAGTATATTATAAGGGAACTCATATCAATTCAGAAATCAAGTGCTGTCTGATTCCACCTATGTTAGGTACCTAGAGTAGGCTGCGGGTTTAATCCCCAGTTGGACCCACATGGGAAGCATGCAAAAGAATATCTCTCTCTCTCTCTCTCTCTCTCTCTCTCTCTCTCTCTCTCTCTCTCTCTCTCTCTCCCCCCCCCCAATCCTTCCTCCCTCCCTATCTCTCTCTCTCCCTCCCTCTTTAAAAAAAAAAAAATATATATATATATATGTATTTAATTCCCCAAGGTATAGAAGTTACCCATTTAACTCTTTACCATACAATCATAGATTTTTCTGAAATTTGTACCAATCTTTTCAGTTATAGCCATGAAAATACAAATGAATACAAAAAAAATAAATTTTTAAAAGAGGCATATATCCTCTTATAAATCTATGAAACAAGATTCATGTACACTGCCTTCTTACTTTGTTTCTTTCTATATGATGGAGTAAATTCAGATCCGTAGACTCTGATATGCCACCATGCATGATCAGGATCTCATCATCAATGATTGTACCAAGGGGAAGCCAAGCAAAAACTTCTTCCAAGACTTGTAAGATTTTCTTCCCATGTATCTGTAAGTAAGAGCTTGAATAAGACTCATTTTCCTGATGGGTTCAAGTTTATGGAATAGTTGCAATGGATGGACAAAAAGCAAAACAGTTTTCATGACACCTAAAGGAAGTCAGCACAGAGTCACTAACCCACTAGCATCCATTCATCATGTCTTTTTATTCTGTATTTTTTAGAGTCCTTCCAGGACTAGCTAATTTTCAGAGATAGTAAATGACTTGCCTGTCATATGCAAGCCAACCAATCAAAAGCCCAACCACCTCCTTTATGGGGCTGAAATTACTCAAACTAGCCAATCCTAAATCTGCTTACACTGCTTCCCCCATTCCTTACCAGAGAAAACACAATAAACACACTCGCCCTCTCAATCCCTCTGCCTTCTGCCTACCCTTGGTGCTTCCCCTGTGCCCGCCCCCCAATGTGCTGTGTGCCTTCTATTTCCTGATGGCTTATTAAAAGCCTTTTCCTTCAGGACAGCTATGTTTTCATCTGCATGTTTTTCCACACCTGAGTAAAACAAATCCCAGGTACCTTAAAAACAATGGAATATGTTTGTATCTACGCCAAAATCTACAAAAGCCACATTGAAAAAGCTTGCTTTAGTCCAGGAAGAAAATTAAGCCTTTGTCATGGCTAGGGCTTCCTACTGTGCTTTTATTCATATAAATTCTCACTAGTTTACCCATAATCCTTCCTGAAGGCTATTTTTTTTTACTTCAATGTATAGACAGCAAAGAATTTTTTTTTTAAAGTATGAGTATTACCTTATATTTACTCAAGACTTCTTTTGTGAATCCATACCTGGAAAAAAAAAGGGGGGGGGGGAATTAAAACTATTGAATTAAATGTTGTTAACTCCTACTTATGTGAACCATGCAAAAAGGGGAGGTCTTGTCATCTCACTATCACAAATGTCAGCAACTTAAGAAACTAGACTTCAGTTGGAACTGATTATTATTTACTCAAGTGTTTGCTAAGCATGATGGGAAAGAGCAAAAGCAGCCAAAACTTTTCTCCCTATACTCAAGGAGCTTGTATAATAGCAAAGTTGGGGAAAGAAGATAAGATTTTGTGAAACAATCACGAGCAACTTTAAGAATATGTGGTAAGCATAGCTTGTGTTAATGCTTCAAGTACCCAGAGAGGAGCACTGTGGCAGATGGAGAAAGCTGTGTAGGAGAATGCTTTTAGTCTAAATAGAATTTCTCAGACCACCTATATCTTACAGTAAATGAATGATATGGAGAGGGGGGAAAAAGACAGAAGACTAAGAGAAACCTAGAAGATAAACAAGTTGGCTCTTTATAGTCTCTCAGATATACTTCACGTTATGTGTTAAAGGTTTTAATAGAAAGTGTCAGGAATTTTAGAGCCTGAATAACAGAGATCTAATGATGAGAATTTTCTTCCGTTATTTTCCCTTGCTTTAGCATAATAGTATATATTCTTAGTACCCAACACAGTGAAGTTGGATCACAACATACTCCAGGTTTCTATGCAAATCATATCATGTCAGTCTTCTACAGTATAACATGATGTTTTCTGAGACTATTTCAGTCCTGTACTCAGCAAAGGTTTCCATGTTCTTAAATCCAATAAACATTTTGCAGTCCCCATCTTTCTTGCTCTTTCTGAAACACTAAATACAGCTGACTACATAATCCTGGAAAACTTCTTTTCTCATGGATGGTGTGAAAGTAAACTATCCTGGTTTTCCTCTGGCCTTTCTAGCTACTGTGAATCTCCTTTGCAATTTCTCTACTAAAATGCCTTAAACAATTGGGAGTTCCTTCAGATTCTGTCCCTTCACTTTCTCCCTTGGCAATGTCATTCTCGTCTAGGGTTTCAGTTACTATTTACATGCCAGTACTACAGGACAATATTGCAGCCCACACTTCATTTCTGAGCTCTGGACATACATACTCAACTTCCTACTCAAAGCACCTTAGATTAGCTTTCCTCAAACTGAACTTATCATTTCCTCTCATCTCATCTTTTCTCCTCTTTTCATGTTCCCAATATCAGGAATGATATGTACCTCCAAACTCAAGGCAAGAACCTAGAGTCTATCCTTGATTCTCTCCTCTTTCAAGTCCCTCATACCACCAAACATTAAATCATCATTTCCAAAACTCCTCTTGAATTTATCTACTCCTTTGCATCTCCATCCACACCACTGTAGTGTAAGTGAGAATCCATTTTGTACTGTTCAACTCCTTCTTAATTGACCTCTCCATATATACTGGTACTCTTCTCTGTCTCCAAATTTACTCTTCCTGCTGTTTTTAAAATATAACCTTGCAATACTCTCCAATGAATTTCCGATGTCCTTAGAAGAAAATCCAAATTCCTTTGCATTATCCAACCATTTCTTATGTCTCCAACCTTATCAGACACCATCCTGTCCATTAGTCTATGCCCCTGCCTCCTGAACTTCTTTCAAATCTAAAAAGTCTTGTCTTATGTTCTGTATAAGTTGTCCCCTCGCTGTGAAACACCTTGGCCTTCTCTTGATTTCCTAATTCATTCCTCAGGGCTCAGACTAACACCATTCTTCTGAGAGAGAACCTCTGTCACCTCTCAGCCATATTGGATCCCCCACTTTACAAACTCACTGCACTTGCAAAACCTGCTCAATAAGTATCTTGTCTTCTAGATGTAAACTCTATGAGGGTAGGGACCCCGTCTCTTTCATTAAACACTGAAGCATTAAATAAATATGATTGGCTAAATTAATAAATGAAGGGATAAATGGTAGGCCCAAATAAAAGAATTGAGCTATATTATACATTAATGGGCCTCTGATAATAGTCTTGGAAGGTTTTTTTTCATAGTCTCAGCATTTGCTTCTATACCTAAGAATTAGAATTTAAACTCTGTACTCTGGTCAGGTGCCAAAACTGCCCAAAAGACAAAACTAATAAGTTGCTGAGCATTGATCAAGGTATTCAAAAGCCCAAGACCAAACACAGGAAACACTCCATGCCTTCTACTGCCCTAGGGCAAACTGGTTCCTGTTTTTCATAAATAGAGGGGGAAAAAAGGAGGAAGAGGAGAGGGAGTAGAAGAAGAGGAAGGAGGGGGAAGAAGAAGAAAGAAGAAAAAGGAGGCCATCTATCACCCATTGGGCCTTTCAGCAAAAACTAGTAAACCATTTAACCAATCTGTATTCTTCAAATTTCTATTGAGTCAGGTAGTTGAATGGTATGTTGCAGCGGTTCTCAAATATGTTTATGAACAACTGTGCCAGAAGCAATTACTATGTCATAAAAAATATCAGTGAAAAATATGGTACTAGTGTCTGAAACAATACATGACACAAGCCAAAAGGGTAGCAAGAGAATGATTCCATCTAAGCCTGCTCATAGAACCTACAAGGACACCTCCAAACCTAGCCTAACATTTACCCTGCACATGATATGGACTGTAAAGGGTGGGCATGGGAGGATAAAAACATAATAGAAGGGAGAAGGAAGAACAGAAGTAGGAAAAAAAGACTGAAAGAGGACTTCAGAATAATGTATACTCACTCAGTAGAAGACTGGGGCTTATAAACAGGGGTAAGAATTGAGATTTCCCTCATCCCTACTTCTCTACACTCACCTCTAACTCTTTGCTAGGAACTAAACATGATGGAAGTTTATAAAATGGGAAACAAAAGAGGAGATATAAAGGGCTATAGGTTACCTCATATTCATCAAAAAGTCTTCATGGTTCCCTCTGTTCAAGGACAGGTCATCACCATAGAGAAGGAAACTCACAAACAGGATCATTAAGATCTCGATGGAACATTTTCCTCGATCCACAAAGTCACCATTAAAAACATATGGGTTATACCCAGAGGGGAGGCCATTCTGTGGAAGAAGGAGAGGGGAAAGACAAGCAATTACAAAAATATACTTTTACTTTGTACTTAATGTCCCCGTGGACATGGAGAAAGAAGCTGAGTCAGTTCTTTCATTTGAGAAAATTTGCTCAGTTGCTTGAGTCAGTTTCACTCTTCCGGGGTGGACATCTCCTGCAAGGGACCTTGAAAGTGAAGAATTAGCTTGGGGCAGGAAGATATCAGGGGATGGGGATTGTTCATTCTACCCACCATCTACTATGAGTTTCCTCTAAAAGGAGCTGATATTTGTCCTATAAAAAATGGCTACTTTCGTCTCTTCCTTTTCCCTGTAAAAGAGGGAAACTTTTAAGGGGCCCTGTGTTTAATTTCTCTGGGCTTTGTGTGATTGCCTCAAATTGCAAAAGGAAGATGACACTATATTCCCCCTCCCTAGATCAAATGACAATGGATACAAAAGTGCCCAGGAATGTATAAGGCACCAATAATTGTATGTAAGACTGATACACCAGTACATTCTGATATAATCACAGTATTGATAGTGTGTTTTCTTACTGCTCACTGACCAGACCATATTAATTGTTAAATATTTTGATTATCACTCCTGGGTATAAGATAAAACCTTTAAATACAGTGTTAGCATGACAAATAACTGTGTTAGCATCACAATATACTTGAAAACAAGTATTCACAAAGATATATGCACCCCTATACTCATTGCAGCATTCTTCACGGTGGCCAAGACAAGGAGACAATAAAAGTGTCCTGTGATTAAAAAAAAGATGTGGTATATAACACAATGGAATACTACTCAGCCATAAGAAAATATGAAATACTGCCATCTGCAACAACATGGAAGAACTTTGAGAATATTATGCTAAGTGAAACAAGTCAGTCAGAAAAAGCTAAGAACCAAATGATTTCACTCATATGTGGGACATAAAACTGAAATTCATGGGCACAAACAGCAGTGTGGTGGTTGGCGGAGGGAAGGTGACAGGGGGTGAAGAGGGTCCTAATATATGGTAAAGGAATATTTGACTTTGGGTGATGGGTACACAGTGCAATATACAGATCTTGTAACACAGAAACCCACACCTGAAACCTTTATGATCATATTAACCAATGTCACCCCAATACATTTAATTTTTTTAAAGTTAATTCTTGACATTAAAATTTAAAATATCAATCAGAGCTAAGTAAAAGAAAGAATGGTTGGAATATATATTATTTACCATAGAGAGCACAGATAAAAAAAAATCTCTCACACAGAACAAAAAGGAAAGTGATGAAAATAATGAGTAAGAGATTAGAATTCAAAGCCAAGAGAACTAATATGCCAATAATAATAAGCATTCCAGAATCATGAAAAAGAAACAGATGGAGAAGAGGCAATAATTACATAAACAAGAGGGAATTTTCTATGGTTAAAAAGAGACTTCCACCTGAAGTTTGAAAGAGATCATGACTCCTGTGCACAACTGATGGGAAAAAATATCCTATTACCAGGTAAAAAGTCTTACAAGTTGCCAGTCAGAAAGAATAAATTACAAAGGGAAAATACTCATCCAGGCATCAGACTCCTCACCTGTAGTAGTGGGAGGTAGAAAATAGTAGAATTAAAACTACAAATTAAAAGGAGAAAAGGACTAGGCTAAGACATCATTAACTCCTGATAGGGATAGAAAATATTTGCATATATGTCAAATATCAAATACCACCAATGATATAAATGTTATTAGGGGTGGAAGAAAGATGTGAATGTGTAGTAAGTGCTACAACAAATGAATACATATTGGTTGCTTTTTACATAATAGAGATAGTTTTAGGTACTAGAAACACAGAAGTAAACAATAAAAAGTTCATGCATTCAAAGAAAATAGCACCTACATATCCCATAGAGGAAAACACTCAAGAAAATATTCTAACCAAATAACAGCGGTAATAATAAAAAGTCCTGAAGCTGGGGAAAGAACAAGAGGAACAAATACAGACATGAAAATGAACCTTGAAATGTATAAATACAAATCAATAGTGAAAATGTGGAACTTGCATTTAAATACTAAGCAAGGATTATAGAAACAGAAAAGACATACTATGAAGGAAAACCTAATAATGGTTAAGAACGAAAAATATGGCGTGAGCAATAGCCAGTACTTAGAGAGGGCAGGGGTGGTGAAGGAAGAAAAGTAAAATTCTCTACAAATCTCATCTGGAACATACATAGAAAAGTGTGAAATAAATACATTTACCCTATTGGAGGAGAGAGAGAATAATTATGGAAAAATAAAGTTATGGCTATTTGAGAAACACATATACATTATTAATTTAAAATGTCAGGAATGGGAAGAAACTGAAAAGTGAATGGGAAAGCACAGTAAAACTGCCAAAGAAAACAATAAAAAAGAAAACGTCACCAAAACAGCAGAAAGAAAAATAAAAGCATGAAAATAAGTTAAATAATTAGTATATAAAGTATAATTGAAGAAAAATTTTCAAAAACTATGTTTTACTAATTGTGAATGGATTAAATTCTGCCTTTACACTACTAAGATTACCAGACTACATTAAAACATAAAACTTGGGCATATGTACAGTTTGTGAGAAAGGAAAGTTGAAAGTAAGATCAATGCAACAAAGAGAAAGCAAAAATTCAAATAAAAATACCAAACATAGTGGAATTTAAAGTACTAAACAATATCACAAAGCAACATTACATCATATTAAGAGGTACTTTATGAAGAACGTACAATTCATGAACTTTTTTTTATCTTCAGGTTTTAAAACTTTTTATTTGCATATTTAAAAAATTGTGCATTCCAATAATTAAAATCATTTGAACAAAAAAAATGGCACTCTGATTAAACTGCATTTTACAGCCTGCAGGACCCCCTGACCAGCTTGGTGTTTCCTCTCGATCTCACCCACGTCAATTCATGAATTTGTATTCAATACAAAAAGGAGCAAGTTTTTGCGTCATTTTGGCTATTATAAATGCAAGAAGAAATTATTTAAAAATATAAACATAATATTCAGATTGAATTATTGGTTTAAAATAATATACACACATTCCCATTATGCAGCTGTAAGAAAAAAGGATATCTTGCCCTTTGATACAGCGTGGATGGATCTGGAGACCATTACATTAAGTGAAATAAACCAATCAAAGAAAGACAAATACTAGTCTCACATGATCTCACTTATTTGTGGAATCTAATAAACAAAATGAATTGACCAACAACATAATACCTGAGGCATGGAGGCATGGAAGAGATTGACATATTTTGGTGTATGTGTGTGTGTGTGTGGGGGGGGAAGCAGAAAAGATAAATCAAAGAACTTATATAGAGATCCAGTGTGTGGATTCGTGCATCAGTGGGGTCCCTTGGCCTGGCCTGCACCCTCTCATAATCCAGGACCCCTCAGGGGATGTCAGAGAGCTGGATTTGTGCACTGGGCCAATTTCAGCCTGATCTTTACAGGCTAGGTTGAGGGACCCCAATGGTACATTAATCCAAGCACCAGGCCTCTAGTATACATATAAGATCTTTGGTTAATCTCTTCTTGCCCTCCCCCTCCCCACTTCTCTCTGAGATTCATCAGTATGTCCCATGTTTCCATGCCTCTGGTTTCTGCTCCTGTGTTGACTGTCTGCCCTCCAGGTGGTCAGTGCACATCATAGCTACCAGCCAGTCAGCCAGTCAGCTGGTCACTTTAGGTTTTTATATATATAGATATACATTGGGCACAGAAAATAGGGTGGTGAAGGCGTGGGGGAGTAGAGGCTGGGAGAGGAGCATAAAGGAAGGGGAAATGGTGGAACATCTATAATACTGTCAATAATTTAAAAATATTAATAATATACACAAATTCTTTGATATTTCCTTTATTTTTTAAATTATTTTTTATGTATCTCAGAAAAGAAGGGAAAGGGAGAGAGAGGGGAAAAAAAAAACATCAATGATGAGAGAGAATCATTGATCAGCTGCCCTACACTGGGGATTGAGTCTGCAACCCGGGCATGTGCCCTGACCAGGAATCAAATTGTGACCTACTGATTCATAGGTCAACACTCAACCACTGAGCTACACCAGCTGGGCAACACTCCCTTTAAAGGTAAAGCCTAATTTGTCATCTCTTGAATGTAGGCTGGACTTAATGATTTGCTTCTAACAAATAGGAAAAAAATCAGAAGAGATGGTGTGCAACTTTGGAGACTTAAGTTAAAAAGGACACTGCAGCTTTCTGTCTGCTTTCTCTATGTTAGATTATGCACACTGGGGAAAGCCAGCTGCTGCACCATGAGACTACTCAGGAACCTTATGGAGTGGCCCATGTAGCTGATCTGCCAATAGCCAGAAAAGAACTGAATTATTGTGTCTGTAGCCATATGAGTTAGCAATCTTGAAAATCGGTCCGCCAGCCCGTCAACCTTTCAAATGACTATGTCCCTGGCCAATAGTTTGACTGTCTTCTTATGAGAGACCTTATGCCAAAACTACCCTGCTAAGCTGCACTCAAATTTCTGACCCACAGAAATTATGAGGTAAATGTTTATAGATTACTATGCCACTAAGTATTGAAGTAATTTATTACACAGCAATATGTAACATGCATATTTGGACAGATATAATAATAATATGTATGGAAAATTAGTATATAAACAATGGAAATATGAAGAACTTTGAATTCTATAAATAGAGAATATATTGTAATTAAATTTCCTTTGTCTATACAGTGTCATGTACTTTATTTTGAAGAAATCCTTAACAAATTCAAAATGAGAAACATTTTATAGGATTTATTCTCATATCATATTCCTATAAAATTTGAAAAAGTAAAAATGTTGTTCAAAAAATTTGAGCTCCTTAAATTTTTAAGATCCTAAATTAAAAATTGTAGTCTTGATAAGCATTGAATTAAGAGGAAATTAAAAGCAGTATCACAAATTCAACAGAAAGCTCAGTCATAACTAAAATTAAAAAAGATGTTTAGTCTTAAATACCTTCA